ATTTTTCAAAATGCTGCTCTCGCTGAAGCGCTGGCCTCATTTTCGGGTTTCCGCTCGTTCCGAATCGTGCTCCCGCTGTAGGGGTTGCCTCATTTCCGCGCTCCCGCTCGTTCCGAATCGTGTTCCCGCTGCAGCGCTGGCGTCATTGTTTCCAGCGCCATGCCACGGCATGGTTTGCGGTCCCTCTGAATAGGCCCCAAAATCTAGAAAATGCACCCCCCCCCGAAATAAACATCGGAAGTGATTACACATTCGGTGCCGATTCGTTGATTTGTTGGGCCGCAGAAGCTCCCCCCCCCCACTTTGGGGCGTCGCCACGCCATGCTATGCCAGGCTACGCGTCCTCATGTCCGCGCTTCCGCGCTTGCTTTTTTCCCCACATGTTTCGTGGGGTTCTGGTTTTCTTCTCGCCGCGGCGCACCCGCGTCTCCTCCTCACACCTCTCCTCCTCTATTATTCCCTCCTCCCCTTGCCCGCGCTCAACACATGCACGGCCAGTTCATGCGACACGCGTCTACATACAGCCGCACGCATGCACACACTCGTACACACAAAACGCATGTTCACTACATCATACACCTCATACGTATGCACAACAGATTGGGCACCCACGTAGGACACACGTTCCGATACGGCCGCACACGCATCATACACATACACATGACGTGCCATATGCAACACGTGCGTGTAGGATTCGCAGTGGATGGCAGGAGGCTCTATGCAGGCCATGGCGCAGGGCACGGCAGGCGTGGCACTTCCTCGACACCACAAATGGTGCGCAGCACATTCGCGACAACAAGAGGCGTTGCACTTTCTCGACACAACAGGGGGTGCGCAGTGGGTGGTCTCCCTATCCGTTTCGGGCTCGCAAGGCGTTGCAGGCGTGGCACTTCCTCGACACCACAGGGGGTGCGCTGGGGGTGGTTTCCCTATCCGTTTCGGGTTCGCAAAGCGTGGCGGGCGTGGCATTTCCTCGATACCACAAGGGGGCGTTGGGGGAGGTCTCCCTATCCGTTTCAGGCTCGCAAAGCGCCGCACGCGTGGCACTTCCTCGGCACCACAGGGGGTGCGATGGAGGTAGTCTCCCTGTCCGTTTCGGGCTCGCAAGGCGTTGCAGGCGTGGCGCTTCCTCGACACCACAGGGGGTGCGCTGGGGGTGGTCTCCCTATCCGTTTCGGGCTCGAAAAGCGTGGTAGGCGTGGCACTACCTCGACGCCACAGGGGGTGCGCTGGGGGTGGTCTCCCTATCCGTTCCGGGCTCGCAAAGTGTGCCACAGGGGGTGCGCTGGGGGTGGTCTCCCTATCCGCTTCGGGCTCGCAAGAGGGTGGCGGGCGTGGCACTTCCTCGATACCACAGAGGGTGCGCTGGGGGTGGTCTCCCTATCAGTTCCGGGCTCGCAGAGCGTGGCAGGCGTGGCACTTCCTCGACACCACAGGGGGTGCGCTGGGGGTGGTCTCCCTATCCGCTTCGGGTTCGCAAAACGTGGCAGGCGTGGCACTTCCTCGACACCACAGGGGCTGCGCTGGGGGGGGTCTCCCTGCCCGTTTCGGGTTCGCAAAGCGTGACAACTTGGCACTTCCTCGACACCACAAGGGGTGCGCTGGGGGGGGTCTCCCTGTCCGCTTCGGGCTCGCAAAGCGTGGCGGGCGTGGCACTTTCTCGACGCCACAGGGGGTGCGCTGGGGTGGTCTCCCTATCCGTTTCGGGCTCGCAAAGCTTGGCAGGCGTGGCGCTTCCTCGACACCACAAGGGGGTGCGCTGGGGTGGTCTCCCTGTCCGCTTCGGTCTCGCAAAACGTGGCAGGCGTGGCACTTCCTCGACACCACAGGGGTGCGCTGTGGTGGTCTCCCTATCCGTTTCGGGCTCGCAAAGCGTGGCAGGCGTGGCACTTCCTCGACACCACAGGGGGTGCGCTGGAGGTGGTCTCCCTATCCGCTTCGGGCTCGCAAAGTGTGGCAGGCGTGGCACTTCCTCGACACCACCGGGGGTGCGCTGGGGGTGGTCTCACTATCCGCTTCGGGCTCGCAAAGCGCGGCACGTGTGCCACTTCCTCGACACCACAGGGGCTGCGCTGGGGGTGGTCTCCCCATCAATTTCGGTCTTGCAAAGCGTGGCCGGCGTGGTACTTCCTCGATACCACAAGGGGTCCGCTGGGGGTGGTCTCCCTATCCTTTTCGGGCTCGCAAAGCGTGGCACGCGTGGCACTTCCTCGACACCACAGGGGGTGCGCTGGGGGTGGTCTCCCTATCCGCTTCGGGCTCGCAAAGCGTGGCAGGAGTTGCACTTCCTCGACACCACAAAGGGGTGCGCTGGGGGTGGTCTCCCTATCCGTTTCGGGCTCGCGAAACGTGGCAAGCGTGGCACTTCCTCGACACCACAGGGGGTGCGCTGGGGGTGGTCTCCCTTTCCGCTTCGGGCTCGCAAAGCGCGGCACGCGTGGCACTTCCTCGACACCACAGGGGGTGCGCTGGAGGTGGTCTCCCTATCCGTTTCGGGCTCGCAAAGCTTGGCAGGCGTGGCACTTCCTCGACACCACAGAGGGTGCGCTGGGGGTGGTCTCCCTATCCGTTTCGGGCTCGCAAAGCGTGGCAGGCGTGGCACGTCCTCGACACCACAAGGGGTGCGCTGGGGGTGGTCTCCCTGTCCGTTTCGGGCTCGCAAAGAGTGGCAGGCGTGGCACTTCCTCGACACCACAGGGGGTGCGCCGGGGGTGGTCTCCCTATCCGCTTCGGTCTCGCAAAGCGTGGCACGTGCGCCACTTCCCCGACACCACAGAGGGTGCGCTGGGGGTGGTCTCCCCATCCATTTCGGTCTTGCAAAGCGTGGCTGGCGTGGTACTTCCTCGACACCACAGGGGGTGCGCTGGGGGTGGTCTCCCCATCCGTTTCGGGCCCGCAAGGCGTGGCATGCTTGGCACTCCCTCGACATCTCAGGGGGTGCGCTAGTGGAGGTCTCCCTATCCGCTTCGGGCTCGTAAAGCGTGGCAGGAGTGGCACTTTCTCGACGCCATAGGGGCTGCGCAGGGGGTGGTCCCTGAGCGCGGCCGCTATGCACGACGGTCGTCCAGGGCATAGCAGGAGTGGCATTTTCTCGACGGCAGACGGGGTGCGCAAGGGGTGGTCCCTCACCGCGGCCGCTATGTGCGCCGGTCGTCCAGGTCACAGGGCTCGCAAAGTGTGGCTGGCGCGGGGCTTCTCCTCTTCCACCTCTCCTCTTGAGTGGCGTCACCAACGGTATCGGCGGGGCAACGGCCACCAACATCATTCTCACATGCTTCACTTCAGCTATCATTACTCCAGCCATGATATAAGTATGTGGGGTTCCTCGGTAGCGTAATTTTTTAAGCGCCGCTCTCGCTGAAGCGCTGGCCTCATTTTTGGGCTACCGCTCGTTCCGAATCGTGCTCCCGCTGCAGCGTTGGCCTCATTTCTGCGCTCCCGCTCGTTCCGAATCGTGCTCCCGCTGCAGCGCTGGCGTCATCATTTCGAGCACCATGCCCCGGCATGGTTTTCGGTCCTTCCAAATAGGCACCAACATCTCGAAAATGGCCTCCCGAAGAAACCATCGAAGTGATTACACATTCGGCGCCGATTCGTTAGTTTTTTGGGCCGCAGAAGCCCCCCCCACACACCTTGGGGCGTCGCCACACCATGCTATGTCATGCTGCGCGTCGATGTTCGGCACCAAGCTATGCCATGTAATGCTATGCCATGCTGCGACATCCGATTGTGCGAATCGACAGGAGATCTACGCCATGGTAATGGATAGGAGGGAGGGGTGAGACATCAAATATGACGCGAGCGCACCAAGCTTGCCTCCTCTCAAATATGACGCGAGCGCACCAAGCTTGCCTCCTCTCCCTCCCGCTCCCCCCCCCCCGCTCCCCCCCTGCTCCTCCTCCTCCCCCCTCCCCCCTCCCCCCCCTCCTCCCCCCTCCCCTGCGCTCCTCGTCCCTCACTCCTCCCCCGCTGCTCCCCACCCCCAGCGGCGCGCCGCGAGCTCGTTCCCGCCCGCCGGCGTGCCGGTGCTGAGGCCAGCGGCCTGCCCGTCCTCCCCAGCAGGGGGTGGGAGAGAGACAAAAGGAAGGGGGAGGGGACGGAGGGAGGAGGAGGAGGGGGAGGAGGAGGAGGAGGAGGAGGAGGAGGAGGAGGAGGAGGAGGAGGAGGACGAGGAACAAGGAGGAGGAGGAAGGAGGGGAGAGGAGTAGGAGGAGGAAGGAGCAGGATGACATTGAGGAGGAAAAGGATGAGGCGATAGGGGGAGACGAGGAGGAGGAGGAGGGGAGCAGGGAGGAGGAGAGGCGGAGGATGAGGAGAGAGGAGGACGATGAGGAGGAGGACGCTGACGGAGAACATGATGGAACGATAGGGGGGAGGTGGTGATGGAGGAGGAAGGACGGAGGAGGAGGAGGAGAAGGAGATGATGAAGGTTAGGATAAGGAGGATGAGGAGGAGGGTAGGAGGAGGAGGCAGGGGAGGAGGAGGAGGACGAGGACAAGGAGGAGGAGGATGAGGTGAGGAGGAGGAGCGTATGAGAACCTGACATGGAGAGGGAGATGGTCGAGGCGATAGGGGTGAGGAGAGGAGAGGAGGATGAGGACAGAGGAGGGAGGAGGAGGAGGAGGATGAGGAGGACGAGGAGTAGGGACGCGGGCGAGGACGAGGAGGATGAGGAGGTGGGAGGTGGGTGGAGGAGGAGGAGAGGAGGAGGAGGAGAAGGAGGGGGAGGGTTAGGAATAAGGAGAGGAGGAGGAGGAGGAAGGGAGGAGGAGGAGGGAGAGGGGGCAGGATGACCTGGAGGAGAGATCTAGGGGGCGATGGGGAGAGTAGGAGAGGAGGAGGAGGAGGAGGAGGTGAGGAGGAGGAGGGGTGGAGGTGGGGGAGAGGAGGAGGAGGCTGAGCGGAGACGGAGGAGGAGGAGGAGGATGACGAGATGAGGACGAGGACGAGGAGGAGGGGAGAGGAGGAGAGGAGGAGGGGGGGAGGAGGAGGGTGAGGAGGAGAGGGAGGGGAGGAGGAGGAGGAGAAAAATTTGGGAATGGGGGGAAGAAGGAAATAAAAGAACCAAAAAGGTAGTGAGGGGGAGGGGGAGGGCGAGAAATCGCGTGAGGCAGGAACAGACGAGACGTGGCCGCACAGCGGCCAGGAGGCGCCCCGGGCCCCCCGAGCGGCCCCAGGGGCACCGGGGGGAGAGGGCCCGAGTGCCCAACGGGCAGCGGGGGAGGGCTCAGACCCCGCGGCCGCGCACCCGTCGCCTCCGCCTTGTGGCCCTCTGCCTTCGAGCAGGAGATCCACTGCAGAACGGACGTGCTCCAAAATCGAAGTTCCATTTTTTGTCGAGTCTCGAACAGTTCCGTAGAAGGTTTGTAGATCGATTCGTAGATCGACGAACATTCGACGCACTTGTGTCGTAGATTCGACGAACATTTCAATGCTGCAACTTTTTCGCAACGAGCGTTTTCGCACGATTTCGGGCCCAGGGACCCTCGCAGGTCGATCCAGTTCGGAAGATGGCGCAGAAAGATGGGGCCCAGGTCTCCAGTCGTGCTCGCTTAAATGTCGCATGTTTGTTTGCAACGTCGGATCTCAGGGTTGAGTGGGTGCCCCGAGACAGTTCGGGTCCGTTCGGCTCCGCGCGCATGTGGGGGGCGCTACGCTTTTGGGGAGCGAGGCCCCAGGGAGCGCCCGCAGACGCCCGAGGACACTGGCCAGGCGGAGCGCGAGGCGACGGCGGCCGCGGAGGGCGCTGTCTGCGGCGTGGTCTCGGCGGCCGTGGGTGCCCCCGCGGCTCTAGACCAACGACGGCACGGCGCTCGCGAGGGCGCCTGGGCGCACGAGGGGCACCACGAGCAACAGCCAGGGAAGGACAGCGAGGGGCAGCAAGCCCCTGCCGAGCCCGAGCTGCCCGGCGCACCTCGCCGCCGTGGTCTGCGCCCCTCTTCGGGACCCCGACGACGCCCCGACGGCGAGCCGCCCGCAGGACCGCCGCGAGGCCTCCGCAGGCGTGCGAGCCTCCCGTGCGCGCACGCCGCCGCCCGGCTGGCTCGAAATGCGGTCGCGACCCCTGGGCGGCGCACGGGCCCTGAACTCCAGGCGCTCATGTTGCTTATCACCGGGCGTTCTCGTCCGGCCTCCCCCTCCTCCTGATTCCTCGTCCTCCTCCTCCTCCGCCTCCGCCTCCGCCTCCTCCTCCTCCTCCTCCTCCTCCTCCTCCTCCTCCCTCCTCCTCCTCCTCCTCCTCCCTCCTCCTCCTCCTGTTTCCCTCCTCCCTCCTCGCTCCGCCCTCCCCTCCTCCTCCTCCTCTTCTCCTGCCTCCTCCTCCTGTTCCCTCCGCCTCCTCCTCTCCTCCTTCAATCCCTCCCCCTCCTCCCCCTCCTCCTCCTCCTCCTCCCTCCTCGCTCCTCCTCCTCCCTCTTCCTCCTCCTCCTCCTCCTCCTCGACCTCCTCCTCGTGCCTCCTCCACCATCCTCTCTCCTCCTCCTCTTCTTTCGCGGGCTGCCTTTACTTCTGAGATTAGTATTAATTATTCCTCTCCTCCTCCCCTCCTCCTCCTCTCCCTCCTCCTCTTCTTCTTATTAGTCTGAATAGTCTTCTCCTTAATATGAAAGTTAGTGTTCTTCTTCTTATTACTATCATGTTTCTTATTCTTAGTAGTATGAGTATTATTATTAATCATAATATTAATATTACTATTATTAGTACTATTCTTATTATTAGTATGATTAGTAGCATTAGCATTATTATTATTAGTAGTACAAGTATTATTAATAGTACTATTATTAGTATTATTCTTATTGATCTTATTCTTATTATTATTATTCCTCCTCCTCCTCCTCCTCCTGTTGCCTCCTCCCCTCCTCCTCCGCCTCCTCCTCCTCCTCCTCCTCCTCCTCCTCCTCCTCCTCCTCCCTCCCCCTCCGCCTCCTCCTCCTCCTCCCCCTCCTCCTCCTCCTCCCTCCTCCTCCTCTCCTCCTAACCTCCTCCTTCTCCCCTCCCCCTCCTCCTCCTCCCGCCTCCTCCCCTCCTGTTCCCTCCTCCCTCCTCCTCCTCCTCCTCCTCCTCCTCCTCCTGCCCTCCTCCTGTCTCCTCCTCCTCCTCCTCCTCCTCCTCCTCCTCCTCCCTCCTCCTGCTCCCCCTCCTCCTCCTCATCCTCCTCCTTCTTTTCCCTCCTCCTCCCTGGTCCTCCGCCTCCTCCCTCCTCCTCCTCCTTCCTCCTGTTCCCTCCTCCTCCTACCTCCTCCTCCTCCTCCTCTCCTCCCTCCTCATCCTCCCCCTCCGCCTTCCGCCTCCCCTTTCCTCCCGCCTCCTCCTCCTCACTCCCTCCTCCTCCTCCTCCCCTCCCCTAGCCTCCTCCTCCTCCCCCTCCGCCTCCGCCTCCGCCTCCTCCTCCGCCTCCTCCTTCCTCCGCTCGCCTCCTCCTCCTCCGCCTGTTCCCTCCCCCTCCTCCTCCTCCTCCTCCTCCTCCTCCTCCTCTCCTCCTCCTCCTCCGCCGCCTCCTCCTCCTCCTCCTCCTCCTCCTCCTCTCTCCTCCTGTTCCCGTCACCTCCTCCTCCCCTCCTCCTCCTCCTCCTCCTCCTCCTCCTCCTCCTCCTCCTTCCCCCTCCCCCTCCATCTCCTCCATCTCCCTCCTCTCTCTCCTTCTCTTCCGCCTCCTCCTCCTCCTCCTCCTCCTCCTCGTCGTCGTCCTCCTCCTCATCCTTGTCCTCCATTCTTTTTCCTGATAATTAACTCCTCCCAGTTGCACCCCGAGGCTAGTTTTAGGGCGGGCGGGGCGTTTCGCCTGAAATTCCCTCACCACTTATGACTCCGAATCTTAAAAGATTTCAAAAGCCTCGCAGATGGAGCGCGGATCGTTTGCAAAATGTGGCTCTCGCGCTAGCGCGGCGCACATTATTTGTTGAACGTCGCAAGCGTTTCACATGTTGAGGGAGTGTCGTTTTCGAAATGTGCCTCTCGCGCTAGCGCGGCGGACATTCGTTTTAAAATGTTGCCAGAGTTGCACGGGTTGAAGGCGGGCCGTTCTCAAAATGTGGCTCCCGCCTTAGCACGGCGCACATTCGTTAAAACAATTGCGTGAGTTGCACGGATTGAGTGCGGGTCGTTTTCAAAATGTGACTCTCGCCTTCGCACGGCGCACACTCATTCTCTAAAGTTTCAGAGAATTGCAAGACCTTCACGGATTGAGGGCGGGTCGTTCTCAAAATGTGGCTCTCGCCTTAGCGCGGCGAACATTCGTTTCACGAAAACGCAGGGGTTTCACGTATTGAAGGCGGGTGGTTTTCAAAATGTCGCTCTCGCCTTGGCGCCGCGCACATTCGTTTTTTTAATGTGTAAGGGCATTCGCGGATTGAGGGCGGTTCCTTTTCAAACCGTGGCTCTCGCCTTAGCGCGCGACATTCGTATCAAACACTTGCAAGAGTTGCACGGGTTTCCATCATCAGCGTGCCAGAAATGGTATTTTGAAAGGATTCAGGATTATGCGAGTGCAACAGTTATGTTGCAATCCCGAGAGTGGCAGTCTCGCACGATTGAGGATTGTCAGGACGCACCAGTCAGGTTGATCCGTGGCGTTGGACTCCCGAGAACACTGTTTTGGCATGCTTCAGGGTCCTCAAACAGTTAGTTGCCTTCCAATTAGGAAGTTCCTTCAATGGAAACGAACCGTTGTAGTGGCCTATGAAGAGGAGCTTGGAGGGAGGGTTTCTTCCAACATCGTTGATGACTCTTGGGTTTACACTGGTCCTCCTCCTTCTCCTCCTCCTCCTGCTCCTCCTCGGGGGTGGGGAGGGGGGCCAAGGCACGAGTCCTGACATCCGGGCCGCTGCCATTCGTTCTCACTGGGCGTTCTCGCACGGTCTCGGGACCTGAGGTATCACAGCTTGGTCTGGCCCCCAGCATGCCGCAGAAAGATGGGGTCTAGGGCTCTGGTCGTGATTGTCTACGATGCTACCATTTTTCCGCGACGTCGGATCTCAGGAGAGTCGCGCAGGGCTCGAGGAAGCAGGCAGCGGGCAAGGGCAGCGGTACGAGACGAGGCGCCCCGCCCGCCCAGCCCAGCCCAACCTTACCATGAAGCGCGCGAGCCCTGAGGGAAACGGGTCGTGGACACTTGGGCATTCCCCCGGGAGCGGTTCTCCATCCTGATCCGTCTTGAGAACGGTCCTGGGGACAACGGGGGACCAAGGAGGCCGAAAACGGCAAAAAAAACAGGGCCCGTTTCCCTCAGGGCCTGGCGACAGACCTAAGGTCCGACCCTGCAAAGAAAGATGCCACATCTCAGAAAGCCACGACTGGAGCCCCGGGCCCCAACTTTCCGCATGATTTTCCGAGCCGGATCGATCTGCGAGGGCCCCTGCGCCCGAAATCGGGCGCAAACGCCCGTAATGAAACAAAAAAAAAAACGCTGCAACGCCAGGATCTGAGGGCACCCGGCCCGCGCCCGCCTTGGCAGGCGCCGCCTCCACGGGCACCGCCTCCTGCAGATGCGCCGCCAGGGCAACCGGTGCCGCAGGGGCGGGCTCTGCAGGCTGCGGCGGCTTCTGGGAGGCCACGCGCAAGCCTGCAGGCTCGGTGGCGAGGGCGGCCGCCTCCGCGGGCACCACCGCCTGCGGGGGGGGCAGGTCCGAGCAGCAAGAGCGGGGCAGGGGGGCGGGCGTGGCCGCCAGCAGAGGCGAGAGCAGAGACGGGGCACGAGGCATTGGGAGACGGAGGGGAGGCGGAGGAGAGTCGAGATCGGGATCGGGCCCGTCGCTGCGCGCCAGCTGTTGCATCTCTCCAGCAAGCTGCCGCCTACCAAGAACGTCGCAGGGGGAGCTCTGGGAGGCGAAGACTGGAAATCGCTAAGCCGTCAAGCGGAGGGGGGGGAGAAGGGGAACCAACAGGACGGGGGGCAGTCGGACGTTGGGCTCACTCTCCAGGCCTCTTTGACCAGCACTGGTTTCTTGGCCAGGTACTTCTCGAACTTCTGCGCGATGTTCGAGGTCTGCAGCTGCTCAGGAGCCTCTCCGTCTCGTCGCTCCTCGCTCCTCGCTCTTCCTCGCTCTTCGCTCCTCAATATTCCCCATCGCTCCTCGCCCTTCGCTCCTCGCTCCTCCTCGCAGCTCATTGCTCCTCGCTCGTTGCTCCTCGCCCCTCGCTCCTCGTCGCTCCTCGCTCCTCGTTCCTCCTTCTCCTCGCTCGCTCCTCGCTCCTCGCTCCTCCTCGTCGCTCCTCCTCGTCACTCCTCGCTCCTCGCTCCTCGCTCCTCCTCATCCTCCTCCTCCTACACCTCTTCATCATCCTTCTCCTCCTCCGCCTCCTCCGCCTCCTCCTCCTCTTCCTCGTCCTCCTCCTCCTCCTCCTCCTCCTCCTCCTCCTCCTCCTCCTCCTCCTCCTCCCCCATCCTCCTCCCCCATCCTCCTCCCCCATCCTCCTCCCCCTCCTCCCCCTCCTCCCCATTTCATCCTTCCCCTCTAATTAACAGTATGTCTCATATGATGGGCAGAAATATTAGTATCAGCATCACTGGGACTATGAATCTTACTCACACGATCTACTATTCCTACGAGGATCAGTATTATTAGCAGTGATCGTATTATCATTATGATAGTAGTAGTAGTAGTAGTAGTAGTAGTAGTAGTAGTAGTAGTAGTAGTAGTAGTAGTAGTAGTAGTAGTAGTAGTAGTCGTAGTAGTCGTAGTAATAGTAGTAGTAGTAGTAGTGGTGGTAGTAGTAGTAGTAGTAGTGGTAGTAGTAGTAGTAGTAGTCGTCGTCGTCGTCGTCGTCGTCGTCGTCGTCGTCGTCGTCGTCGTCGTCGCCGTCGTCGTGTTAGTATTGGTGGTATTTTGTAGTAGTAGTAGTAGTAGTAGTAGTAGTAGTAGTACTACTATCACCACCACCACCACCACTACGACTACTACTACTACTGCTACTTCTTCTACTTCTATTCCTCCACTATTACTTCTACTACTACTACGACTACTACTATCTACTAACTACTACTACTACTACGATCCACTACTACTACTACTACTACTACTACTACTCTACTACTACTACTACGACCACTATACCAAGTTTTACTAGTAGTACTTATATAGTTATTTCTATTACTACTACTACTACTTACTACCTACTACTAGTTCGCATTACATGTGATCACTAACTGACTACTACTACTACTACTACTACTACTTCTTCGATACTACTACTTCTTACTACTACTACTTCTACGACTACTAATACAAGTTATAGTGAGTACGAATAGGTATTATACTACTATCTACTTCTACTGCTACTACTTACTACTATACTACTATACTACTGCTACGACTTATACTACGATAATACTTTACTACTACTACTACTACTAGTACTACTACTACTACTACTACTACTACTACTACTACTACTACTACTACTACTGCTAGTAATCGTAGTAAAAGTAGTAGTAGTATTATTATTAGTAGTAGTAGTAGTAGTATGAATAGTAGTAGTGGTAGTAGTAGTAGTAGTAGTAGTAGCAGCAGTAGTAGTAGTAGTAGTAGTAGTAGCAGTAGTAGTAGTAGTGGTAGTAGTAGTAGTAGTAGTAGTAGTACCATGAGTAGTACTTGTATAGTTTCAGTCTTAGTTTTCGTCAGAGTCGTACTTCTACTATTATTTGTAGTCTCAGCGTTATGAACCTTACTAAAATTATGCGAACGGAGTTCCCCACATGGGCGTTTTAATAGGGCGCGGGCTTAGTCAGGAGGAAGAGGAAGAGGCGGAGGTGCGGGGGGAGGGGTCGACGAGGATGGCAGCGAATACTGTCCTCGCTCAGGCGGGGCCTCCCTGGAGCGGTGGGAGGGGCACGAAACCTGATAAATAATATGGTTTGCGAGTACTGTCCTCGCTCAGGCGGGGCCTCCCTGGAGCGGTGGGAGGGGCACGAAACCTGATAAATAATATGGTTTGCGAATACTGTCCTCGCTCAGGCGGGGCCTCCCTGGAGCGGTGGGAGGGGCACGAAACCTGATAAATAATATGGTTTGCGAATACTGTCCTCGCTCAGGCGGGGCCTCCCTGGAGCGCTGGGAGGGGCACGAAACCTAATACATAATATGGTTTGCGAATACTGTCCTCGCTCACTGATAACTAATATGGTTTGCGAATACTGTCCTCGCTCAGGCGGGGCGTCCCTGGAGAGGTGGGAGGGGCACGAAACCTGATAAATAATATGGTTTGCGAATACTGTCCTCGCTCAGGCGGGGCCTCCCTGGAGCGGTGGGAGGGGCACGAAACTTGAGAAATAATATGTTTTGCGATTACTGTCCCTCGCTCAGGCGGGGCCTCCCTGGGAGAGGTTGGGAGGGGCACGAAACCTGATTAATAATATGGTTTGCGTAATATGCCCTCGCTCAGGCGGGGCCTCCCTGGAGCGCTGGGAGGGGCACGAAACCTGATAAATAATATGGTTTGCGAATACTGTCCTCGCTCAGGCGGGGCCCCCTGGAGCGCTGGGAGGGGCACGAAACCTTATAAATAATACGGTTTGCGAATACTGTCCTCGCTCAGGCGGGGCCCCCCTGGAGGGGTGGGAGGAGCACGAAACCTGATAAATAATATGGTTTGCGAATACTGTCCTCGCTCAAGCGGGGCCTCCCTGGAGCGCTGGGAGGGGCACGAAACCTGATAAATAATATGGTTTGCAAATACTGTCCTCGCTCAGGCGGGGCCTCCCTGGAGCGCTGGGAGGGGCACGAAACCTAATAAATCATATGGTTTGCGAATACTGTCCTCGCTCAGGCGGGGCCTCCCTGGAGCGCTGGGAGGGGCACGAAACCTGATAAATAATATGGTTTGCGAATACTGTCCTCGCTCTGGCGGGGCCTCCCTGGAGGGGTGGGAGGGGCACGAAACCTGATAAATAATATGGTTTGCGAATACTGTCCTCGCTCAGGCGGGGCCTCCCTGGAGCGGTGGGAGGGGCACGAAACCTGATAAATAATATGATTTGCGAATGCTGTCCTCGCTCAGGCGGGGCCTCCCTGGAGCGGTGGGAGGGGCACGAAACCTGATAAATAATATGGTTTGCGAATGCTGTCCTCGCTCTGGCGGGGCCTCCCTGGAGGGCAGGTAGGTATTGTATGGTATTGTATGATGTGGTAGGTATGCGGTGATGGTGTATGTATGGTTTCCTACGTGCTTGCCTGACTCCGGTGGTCTGCTATAGTATGGTATGGTACTGTATGGTATGGTATAATATGGTATGGTAGGAATAGGAAGAGGGAGCGAGCGTGGTAGGTATGCATTGTATGGTATTGTATGGTGTGGTAGGTATGCGGTGATGGTGTATGTATGGTTTCCTAGGTGTGGTATGGTAGGTACGGTGGTCTGCTATAGTATGGTATGGTATTGTATGGTATAGTATGGTATGGTAGGAGTAGGAAGAGGGAGCGGTATTGCATGGTATGGTATAGTATGGTATGGTAGGAATAAGAAGAGGGAGCGGGAGGTGGGAAGGTGGGAAGGTGGGAAGGAGAGGGCGTCCTGGGAAAATTATGCTAACGGAGTTCCCCACATGGGCGTTTTAATCGGGCGCGGGTTTAGTCAGGAGGAAGAGGAAGAGGCGGAGGTGCGGGGGGGACGCGGGCGACGAACCAGATCGCCAGCGAATACTGTCTTCGTGGGTCGGATTCGAAATTCGTGGAGCGGGTGGCGAGGTGCGAGGGGCACGAAACCTGATAAATAATATGGTTTGCGAATACTGTCCTCGCTCTGGCGGGGCCTCCCTGGAGCGGTGGGAGGGGCACGAAACCTGATGAATAACATGGTTCGCGAATACTGTCCTCGCTCTGGCGGGGCCTCCTTGGATCGGTGGGAGGGGCACGATAGCTGATAGATAATATGGTTTGCGAATCCTGTCCTCGCTCTGGCGGGGCCTCCCTGGAGCGGTAGGTAGGTATTGTATGGTATTGTATGGTGTGGTAGGTATGCCGTGATGGTGTATGTATGGTTTCCTACGTGCTTGCCTGACTCCGATGGTCTGCTATAGTATGGTATGGTATGGTATGGTATGGTATGGTATAGTATGGTATGATAGGAATAGGAAGAGGGAGCGAGCGTGGTAGGTAGGTATTGTATGGTATTGTATGGTGTGGTAGGTTTGCGGTGATGGTGTATGTATGGTTTCCTAGGTGTGGTATGGTAGGTACGGTGGTCTGCTATAGTATGGTATGGTATTGTATGGTATGGTATAGTATGGTATGGTAGGAGTAGGAAGAGGGAGCGGTATTGTATGGTATGGTATAGTATGGTATGGTAGGAATAGGAAGAGGTAGCGGGAGGTGGGAAGGTGGGAAGGTGGGAAGGTGGGAAGGTGGGAAGGAAAGGGCGTCCTGGGAAAATTATGCTAACGGAGTTCCCCACATGGGCGTTTTAATAGGGCGCGGGCTTAGTCAGGAGGCAGAGGAAGAGGCGGAGGTGCGGGGGGAGGGGTCGACGAGGATGGCAGCGAATACTGTCCTCGCTCAGGCGGGGCCTCCCTGGAGCGGTGGGAGGGGCACGAAACCTGATAAATAATATGGTTTGCGAATACTGTCCTCGCTCAGGCGGGGCCTCCCTGGAGCGGTGGGAGGGGCACGAAACCTGATAAATAATATGGTTTGCGAATACTGTCCTCGCTCAGGCGGGGCCTCCCTGGAGCGGTGGGAGGGGCACGAAACCTGATAAATAATATGGTTTGCGAATACTGTCCTCGCTCAGGCGGGGCCTCCCTGGAGCGCTGGGAGGGGCACGACACCTAATACATAATATGGTTTGCGAATACTGTCCTCGCTCAGGCGGGGCCTCCCTGGAGGGGTGGGAGGGGCACGAAACCTGATAAATAATATGGTTTGCGAATGCTGTCCTCGCTCAGGCGGGGCCTCCCTGGAGAGGTGGGAAGGGCACGAAACCTGATAAATAATATGGTTTGCGAATACTGTCCTCGCTCAGGGCGGGGCCTCCCTGGACGGGTGGGAGGGGCGCGAAACTTGATAAATA